CACCCATTCTGGCGGTACATCAAAATAAATCGGACAGGCAATGTATTTCGAAATAGGTTAGTTATTCACAATTTAGTTTAATTTATTCCAAAACTTTTTTTATTCATAGCTCGAAGGCGCAAATTATAAGTGTATTAAATTGGGGGTATAAACATGTTCTTCGGAGATTTTAATATTCAGACTTTAGTAGTTGTATATACTAAAGGTGCAAATTATAAACTGGATTTAGCATTTGAAGATTGTTCTGCTCTATAGTAACAGTCAGTCTCTAACTATTCATGTGCAACATTGTAAATTGTGCAATGCAACATAGAAGTACCTAGTATTGTCTTTTGAAATGTTTTCGATCTTTGAGAGTCATGAAGTTCCAATGGGCCAGGTTTTCACATTTTAAAACTTTGGTATCAATTTGCTAATCTTGCAATGTCCGCATGTTGCAGGTAGGTGTTTCGGATATGGCGATCCCCACTATCGTGGTTTTGATGGACGGTGGTTTCAACACCAAGGTAGCTGTACCTATATATTGTCTCGTTCGCTCACACTGGATTTTCAGATTTTCATCACCAACTACGAATGTGAACGCCAACCAGGAACAACGTGTGTAGGCGAGGTGATACTACTACATGCTGGTCATACAGTCACACTTCAATCAGACTACCAGGTATTACACTCTCGGGTGTTGCGTCGTGTTCGGCTCTGTGTCACGCTGTATTCACGCGCGCTGCTTGACATGCAGTTTACGATTGTTTTTATAAATATTTCAAAAGATCGTTTTGGAAGTTGAAACATTGTAATTGCATGACATATAAACCCGACTTTAATTCAATATTGACAGACGTAGCCGTCTTGCCTTAGATATGCATCACATGCATTTCTCATTTTTCTTGTATCCCATAAATCTGATGTTAGATTGAATTTAGTCGTAATTCTTTTCGATACTAAGAATACCTTATTCACTCAATTTATGGCCATGTACTACAACCATTTAGAAGCCATTTATCTAGTCGCATGTTGGTAATTTATTGCATATTTAGTTTGATTTCATAACTGATGCAAACATTGTCATTCTGTCCTTCTGAATGTTGGTGTCGCAGCATGTTTTATTGGTGGGGATCTCGAAATGATAAAGCTGTCGCGTCATAATTAGCGATGGTTGACATGCACTTTCGTTAGATGACATGTTTCCAGAGACTCTCGAATGCATTTTCTTCTATAGATTTGCAATTATTGAAAGCAAAACATAAGACTAACCTCAAAATGTGCCACGATCGCAGTTTCAATTAATGACAACTGACATTGCGATATATCAAGTGTCTTGGTCTAATCACTGAAGAATGTGAATTTTAAACTAGTTTATTTTGTACCCCAATTACCCTGGGAAATTGCGCCTACGGTGGTACGACATCCAGCCAGCGACAATTGGGAGTCTTTGAAATTAGTGTACGTATCAGTCTGTTCAACTGATTACTCAAGAACCACCTTTTTTGATAACATTTTATACATAGATGCTGTGGACTGATGCGATTACTTTGTTAAAAATCCATGCACATTAATTACCTGATTTGCGTAACGATTAATTTTGGTTTGTAACGGGCTAGTTCTTTTAGATTTTTTATTTCATTGCGACAAGCTGTGCCTACGAGAACGAGCGCATGATTGGATATTGTAACATTTAATTTATTTTACTGTGCAGATCAATTTTGATGGTGAACTGTTGAATCTACCAGTATATAGGAATGGGATTGACGTGATGAAATGTGGTATACAAATGGTATTGACTGTCCCGGCATTAGGTATTGAAGTCAGATACGAACCGTACTTTCATACATTTGCCTTTATAATGCCGTATGACCGATACGTTAACAATACTGAAGGCATATGTGGTAAGTAAATAATTGTATTTGCAATCGTGACTTCGCAGCGCAAAATTTATATTCGCGTCTTATGAAAACCGGTGTCGGGCCATCTTTTCTTCACAACAGAAGTGTGTGTAATGTTTTTAAAATTCACACTGTGTGCATATTCATGACAACCAGAATTAGTCGTTCTATAGTTATCACAACGTGCAACAAAACCAAATATTAATACATTTTCACCACGGAAACCAATGACAAGACTACATGTTGGAACCTTCATCGCTAAATGCACCAATTGCATCTTCGGACAATTACCTAAGCGGACGTGATATCGAATGCACGAGTTTTTGTTGTTGCGACTGTGCGAACCTTCCTCTTGACGCACATGTCAACGCTTCGTGTTAGCAACTATAGCGTTTAGTTTGTGTAAACTGGCTACGCGACTACTACACTATAATAGGCTTGATTTTCCCCCCCCCCCCTTCCCGGATATTGTGACGGAAATTAAAACTACTTGGAATAGATTGTGCAGTTTCTTTATTCACACACTTCTCCAATCTGTCATATTTATTTTTCTGTAGGGGTGTGCAACAATGTTCCGGGCGACGAGTTTTTACTTCGCAATGGCAGTAGAGCTGGAGGGGTGGCCGAATTCATGGCAGACTGGCAGCGAAACAGGGACGACGACTGCGAGTTACCAGTTAATCCAACGGAGCCACCGTGTCCCAAAAGAAAAACAATGTGCGACAAACTCTACAAATATCCGTTCGACGACTGCCACTCCGTCGAAAACCCAGCACCGTACTACGAGTCGTGTCTGTACGACGATATGCGTGCCGTGTGCGGTGTTGATGGAAGCTGTGAAGCTCTAGCTTTCTACGCCCAAGTGTGTAGCATGAAGGGTATTTGTTTGCAGTGGAGGGGAGACGATGTGTGCCGTAAGTAATGTATTTTTCAATACAATCGGGAGTACTGACAAGGGCGATTTTTCTAAAAGATTTAACGCGAAATGTGCACAAAATTACAATGTATATAAATAATACACTGCCTTACTAATTGTGCCTATACTGCTAGGCTGGTCGATATTTTTAAGCGGCATACTGGCATTCATTTCATATTTGGTAGTGCTATATTGCGACATGGCTTCAGCAGATCACAATACCTGGTTGTAAATTCTTGTTGACGTCAATACTGTTCTTGTACAATATAGCGCCGGAAAACTGTACGGCAGGCATGGTATACAGAGAATGTGCCCCAGTGTGTATGAACGCAATGGACGTTTGCAATCCAGAGGTGTGCACATTAGCACCAGCCCGAGGCTGCTTTTGTCCCGAAGAAACCTACGAGAAAAATGGACGATGCTGCTGTAAGTATTTAACATAGTTTTAGCGTGTCCACAGATAAGCGAACAAAATGGCCATTTGTTATTACTTATAAATAGTTCATACGATTCTCGACGCAACGCAGTTTTTTAATTTCTATTACGCGTTTTGTTTTGTACAGCATGTGAAGTATGTACTCCCCCAGAACCACCGCAGTGTTCCGAAGGACAGATTATTGAAATTCAGATTATCGAAACGGATGACTGCTGTCCAGATATCCACTATCTGTGTGGTAAGTAACGTATACATAATGCTGTATTCAATCGCTATGCAAGTTTTCTTCAACTTTAATTGTCGTTCTGCATTCAATTTAAATTTATACACGGAGGGAAAATGGTCTGTTTTGGGGCATTTTAACATTCTTGTGTTAATTTTTGTTTGTGATGTATGATGAAAAATAGCCTCGCAGTACTTTTCGATGTATAGAAACTATTACAAACATGACTTTCAGTAAGTTTTTATCGAGGAAATGTATTTCATTGTAATCAATGGAGACCGCTGCTGAAGTGGCATTTTAGGCAGATTGGTAGTAAGCCCAAATTTCACGTACTGTTGACTCGTACTAAACGAATAATAATATAATACGCGAACATAATAAGTACGCCATACTCGCGAATGGCCTTCTACCCCCGCTTCTACCTTAAACATGCGAAGGTTTATCATTGTTTTTAATAATAACAATATTCTTTACAGTGTGTGCTTCTGAATGTCCGCCTCCACCAACGTGTGCACCAGACTATGACCTCGTACATACCTCCGATGACCTGTGTTGTCCAAGATACGAGTGTGGTGAGTGATTTACCATGCTATTAGACAACACTAACAAGGTCACCATTTGCCTACATTTTCTCTAAATATAGAATTCTACGACAAAGGACGCTTAAATCGTGTCAGTATGAATCGTGGTTAAATACCTAATCACAAGCAAGATGTGAAAGACGTGCCCAGTAAGTCGCTCATACCCTGCTGCAAAATGCATGCACGTTTCTAACGCGTATTCATTTATTTCTACAGCGCCTCACGGAGTAAAATGCAAAGTAATACCAATGTGGGAGGAGCCCAGAACCATCTACATCATGGGATGCGAAAGCGCCCTCCCCGTCAGTCTTGTCGAATGTGATGGGCGATGCAGTTCCAGAACGATATGGTCAATTGAAACTGCATCAATGGAAACAACATGTACGTGTTGTCAGCCTTCAAGAACGGAATTTCGTACTTTTGATTTGGTAAACTGCGGTGAAGAAGCCAACAATAACTCTACTTACACGTACGAACACATACTAGACTGCACGTGCGTTGCGTGCCAAATACCGTTGGAACGCGATATCAAAAATGTATAATATATAACAATGTAACAAATATATTTATGTAAATAGATTTATTTAAATTGAATAATATATTTATCAGATTTGAAGTAAGAATTTTCGGATTTTCACCAGTAATCCTGTCTGTCAGTTATTCAAATACGTTATGTTAGTTTTCTAAGTTTATCAGATTTATATTTGTCGACAAATTTCGCTACATTCGTAAATTCATATTTTATTTTTTATCGTCATATTATAATTTATAGATTTGCATGTATACAACAGTTGTTATAAATGCCAATCAATGCGTCAGTGTTGTGCATAAATATTAAATATTGACGTGGTAAATTCAGGTTGTGAAATGACTCATTTGTAGCTTCATGTGAATGTCGCTGCACAAATGAAGTTTTCTAATTTATAACTAGGCCTTACCTATGAAATATCCCTTAATTTAACATCACCCGCTGACGCCCTCTCGCACTGAGTTTTGACAAGTCCCAGGAGGCTTTCAGCAGACATTTTGTTTATGGTAATTACGCGGTTTCGTAACCATTCGGAACGTACAACTCGCCGATCGCCAGCGGCCGGAAAATATACACCTTGAATTTACGACGCCTCTCTGATACAAGTTAGTAGTGAATTCTATAAGATGGGCACAATTTGAAGCATGGCAATGTCTCAAAACAAAAATTGAAATGCCCAATATAATCTTGTTTGCTGTCCACTTTTATTCTGACTGTGAAAACCTGACAAATTCATAGTGAACTGATTCTCTAACACAATTGTGCCCTAGTACTCGTGGTATTGTATCAAGCAAGATGTTAACAGTAGCCAGACTTTGGATGTACCGAATTTACCAAATTTTCAAAATTGTTTTTCGATCACAATCGAACTTGTCACAAAGGCAATGCACGACTCTTGCATTAGATCAGATATGGTGGACTGACGGACATTTTGGTGCTCAAATTTGCCAAGTAAACTCATATTTGGTTTAAGTTGTAGGTTAAAATTTTTTCCCAGATTTAACCAAGTCTGACGATATTTTTATTTATGTCAATGCCGTTAAGATTTAATTCAATTGAAAGTTTGCACGCAATTGTGATGTGGTAGATGGATGTATTCGAAACCAAATGACGCAGATGACCATGGCAAATAACGACGTATCTTGCGGTCTCTGGGGACATCTGACTACCTATCGTTTAGAATAATTGTATGATTGCACAGAAATTTGTATTTTGTGCATTTCTTGACTATTTAATTTAAATTGGTACCAGTATCTTATAAAACTGTCAAATCAATTGTTGGAGTGTAAATTTTCAATTGTGCCAGTACTAGTAAACATTCAACTTGGCAAAATAAAGTATTCTTTTTGGGTTCTGCGCATGCGTCAACTGAAGTAACATCGGAACCGGACGGCTCAAAAAAAAACCAGAAGAAATTTAACCCACCGAGAGGAAAATACGGAAGTAATATGTCACCGAGGGTTGGCGTGAAGGCATATGGAGCAAAGGGAGCCGAGAAACAGGACAGGAAAGTGGACGAAATGCTATCGGCATCCAGTGAAAGTGCGGAAGGCCAGAATCAAATAATACAAGATGGCGACCTCCAAAAGGCAATGAAGTTATCCAGTAAGGATCGGTCGGAAATGATGTTGAGATTGCTTTTCTCGATAAGGGAGGCAGTAGACAAGATTGAACCTATGAATCGGCAGATTGAGGAGACAAAACACAAAGTCTCAGAATTAGAAGAATCATTAAATCATATCTATGAACGGGTAGAGGATATCGAAAAAAAGAGACCGCAGCGGGGAGACACGTGACAAGATGGTGGACAAACTGAAATTAAAAGTCCGGGAAATGGAAACCAGACTGAGTGATTCAGAAAACAAGAACGACGATTTGGAAAACAGATCGCGACGAATGAACTTAAACTTCCATAATTTCCCAGAAGGAGCAGAAAAACACGAGAAATCGTGTTCAGAATTTATAAAGAAATTCGTCTTGAATCATATGAAGGTCAGAGGTGTCGAAAACCACGTGGCCATTCAAAGAGGCCATTCATAGAGTGCCTTCGTTTCCGTTGCGGTCGGGTAAGCCAAGACGCATTTGTTGACGCAAGTGTATCAAGATCAATATTATTTGCAGCTCCAGGCACACTTAAGAACAACAAGTTCGAAGGAAAGGACATCTTCATAACAGATGACGTGAGTCACAAAATTATCCAAGATAGGAAGATTGATGAAATTTCGTAAAGACTACCAGAAGGAGAATCCAAATAAAGAGTTACATCTCATGGAGGGTTCCAGCTACGTGCATGATAGAAGTAGAAGGAAAAATGTAAGTGATTATGGTGAAAGATCTAGAGGAATGAAAGACCACGAGAAAGGAAAGAAGAAGAAGAGAACTTTGTAAGTTTTATCAGCTATCACAGTGTTGAACAGTTCTATAAGGATTTTTGGAAATTATTTTATTATTTTATATGCTAAATCCTTGGTGCTATATATGAAGTGGTACTATCTGAGTTAAAGGCGGAGAGAATAAGGATTAAAATAGTGAGGTTACCGAGCCGTCCAATAGCGCAGTATCTTGCCTTAAATATCTTAGATTATGTCTATGTTGTTTTTACCGTTTCTTTTGTTAGTATGTTTGTTAGTGTTTTGTGTTTACGAAAAATGGGTGCTACTAATCTTAGGAAATTCCTGTAAAAGCCAAAATATTATGTATGGACTTACAGTTATCAATTCTATCACTTAATACAAGAGGGATGAGAGATTTTAAAGAGAAAGAAGATATCTAA